GCGCCAGGCCGCGCGCACGCCCGCAGGGCCGGCGCCGCGCCGGCGCGCGCGGGGGGCGGCGCCGGAGCCGGACCAACGGGGGCTGCGCCTTCCGCCGCCGGTCTCAGACCCCATCCACTCATCCAAGGACAGAGATGGCGACAGGGGCGGCGCGACGCGGGGCTGCTGCTGCTGCTGTTGATGATGGTGCGGCGGCGCCAGCGGGGGCGTGGGCGCGGCCGGCGCGATGCTGACCGCGGCCGCGGCCGCCGCGGCGGCGCTCGCGGAGCCGAGCCACTGCTGCAGGTGCTGCGCGGTCAGAGGCGCGTGGCAGTCCTGGTGACCCTCCTGCTCCTGCTCTTCCTGCTGCTGCTGCTGCTGCCCTTGCTGGTGCACCTCCGGCGCATGACAGTGCTGCTGCTGCTCGTGCTGCTGGTGCTGCTGCTTGTGCTGCTGGTGTCCCTCCTGCTGCTGCTCTAACACATGGCACCGCTGCTGCCCCTCTTGCTCCTGCTGCTGCTGCTGCTGTTGCTCCTCCTCGTGCTGTTGCTGCTGCTCCCGTTCCTGCTGCGCCGGCACCTGTTGCTCCCCCTCCCGCTCCTCGTGCTGCTCGCCCTGCCCCTGCACCTCCTGCGAATCGCCAGGGGCTCCAGCCGCAGCAGCCTCCACCCCACTGTCCTCCCCTGACGCTGCCCCAGCCCCGCCACTCCCGCTCTCGCTCCCGTCACCGCCGCCGCCGCAGGACGCCGCCACAGAAATGCTTGTCTGAGTGTCGACAACAATGGGTAGCAGGGCGCCCGCGCTGTCATCGCCGCGAGCGCGCCGCCGCAGCGCCTGCTTACGCGCGTCGTGCGCGCGGACGCGGGCGACGGCGCGATTCAGGACGCAAGCCCATATGGGGATCGTCTTGGAGAGGGAGTCCTGCGGTGAGTGCGTGCGTGTGTGTGTGTGTGTGTGTGTGTGTGTGTGTGTGTAAATGTGAGTGTTGGTGTCTGACAGAGAAAGTGTGTGTGTGTGCGTGTGAATAGACAGGGACAGTCACAGACAGGGAGTTGTGTGCACGCGTAAGCTTGTGTGTGTGAGCGGGCGTCGACGCGGGCGACTGGAACCCACTCCGCAGTGGAGCCTCGCCAGGCGCACGTCGTGCCACCTGATACCCCCCACACACAGCCATGCCCCCGCCCGAACAGGGGCGAGCAGCGGGGTCAGGGCGCAGCGGCACCGCGCACCGGGAAGCGCTTGCCCTTGCGCGTCGCGTCGACCACGACGGCGCCGCCGCGCGCCGCCGCCGCCTCTGCGAGCGCCATGTTGAGGCGCGTGGTGGAGAAGCTCCACCAGCCGTTGTGGCCGTCTGTCGATTTGAAGTAGCAGGTCGCGTCGAAGCGGGGCGCGTACCAGAGGCCGCACCGCAGGTTGGCGACGAGGGGGAGGGAGGGGTACAGCTGCCTGCGCGGCGGGGGCGACGGGCGCGGGCGGCGCTGAGGGGCGGCCGGGCGGATTCGGGAGGGTTTGGCGGGGTCTGGGGCGGCCGAAAGGCGGCCGGCATGGGCGCCCTGGGCTACTGAGCCGCCTGCGAGGCGGCGCTCTGTAGGGCTGCGCTGGCGCTTACGCCGCGGTGAGAGACTGTGCGCTGTCTGGCGGCAGCGTCAACGGGCAGGTCGCTGCAAATCTGTTGTGCCATGTGCTGATGGCACCCCACCTGAGCTCCGCCACGAAGCGCTCGTCCTCGAGTAAGCTGTTTATGCATGACCACAAGTCGTTGCTCTCTCGTTTGAGGTCCCTGAGGACGGATGACAGCGGCTGTCGCGTTGACAAGAGCAGGTCCTCGCCACGCGAGTCAACTCCAGGCTCCTTCATTTTGCTGTGCGTCCTTTTAGACCCTCCAGCGCGTACTGGGCTGAGCGCGTACGCGATCTCTCATGAGTCTCTGGCAGCCCGCACGCACCACCTGCCGTGGTGGCGCCATTTTACAACAGACCAACACTTATGTGTGTACCGTGGCCGCGCCACAGTCTCGTGAAAATGGTGCTTGGACAGGCCCACCTGCTGGTAAGCTACTGTACCTGCCGCGCCAGCTGCACTGCTGCCTGCACCTGTTGATGCCCCTCCTAACGACCTTCATGCGGGCCGTGCCCAGACCCTTACACCGCTCTGAACTGCTGGACAGGCAGCACGCACCCCAATCCACTCGCCGACCCTCCAACGGCTGCACTGTTTGTGGGCGCTGGCAACCGCCAGTGACAGTGCACGCGAAGGCAAGCACGCGCGCAAAGCCGGCAAGCGGCGGCCGGGCATCGAGCCTCGGAAAAGGCTGCGACAGCACGTTGCGCCGCATGGCGCATCACAACAGCTGGCTGCAAAGGCGCATGACCGTTTCACTCGAGTTGCTTGGTATACACAGGTCTCAGCATGCGCACGCGCGCAAGCTGGCCGCAGCATCTGCCGCAAAGAGCCGCCACAGGGGGTCTGCGCACGCAGGGTGAACAGCGATGGGGATCGGCGGATGCAGGGCTGAACACCCAGGGTTCAGCGACGGGGCGCTGGGCGTTTGACCGCAGTCAACCAACAACCGAAACGCGCGCCGCGCCTGCTCTTGGCAGGCAAAAGCATACAGCTCAAGGGACAAGGAACACAAACACACACACGGATGCAGGCCGACACAGCATGCTTTGGAACCAGCCAGCCGACTGGGCAGGCGTCGCTTGCACGAGGCGGGTGCGCACAGTCGCGCAATCGTACAGTCGCACACGATGCAGGCGATGAGGGTGCGCACAGTTGCACGCATGCCCTAGCAATCAACGGATTGAAAACAACGGGGGCGGGTGCCAGCAGTCAGGGCGCCAAGCTCTGTCTCGACCCCTTGGCTGGCTGGACTCCTGCCCACAGCAGGCAGCCACTGCCAGCTAACAACGACGGTGTATTAAATGTATATCAGCAGTGCCGGACAGGCGCGGCCCAGCGCGGCGCGGCACGGGCTGGCGGTCGCTGCCACTGCAGGCCTGGGGCGGGCGGCGGGCGGGCAGCCGCGCATGCCCTGCTGCCGGGCGTGTGCTCAATGTGACGCAGTCCTTGAAAGGCTGCCTGGAGCCGCGGGGGCTTGGTGCTGTGATTTCGGCCTGTCTCGGTTTCAAAACCTACCAGCATGCAGCATCGGTCCTGCATCCCACTGTCCGCCGCTGCTGAATTGGCATGTATGTCGAGCTGACGTGCTGATGTCATGCGTACTGCTCCATAAATGACTCATGGAAGTCCCTGCACGTCGAGGGCGGTGCAATGCAAAAGATTGAGTGAGAGGGTGTGTGGTGCCAGGCTTCGAACATTGATGTTGATGGATTTGCATCATCAGAATAGAGCGGAAGGGCAAGGGACAGGGGAGCAGAAAAAGGGGACGAGGGATACACATAAAGGCATGGCGAGCGCCTCCGAGGACACGGCGGCACCCATGGCGCGCCCCCGTCTGCCGGCCGCCGGGCGCCCCAGGCGGCGTGTTGGAAGCGCGGATTGGCTGCTGCCTCCGGCCTGAAAGGCGCCGCCTGGCATCCAATGCGAAGGCGGGCTGCTGTTTGCTGTTGGCAAGGAGCCCCGCACCTGAACTTCTGCACGAATTCGGCCATCCGCTCCTCGCGCGGCAGGATGGTGGTGCGCAAGTGGAACGTCCCCTCCGACTGCCCAAACCCACTGCCGGGCACTGTCGAGATGCCTGTGGCCTCGAGAAGCTCGAGGCAGTAGAACACGTCCGGCGCCTTGCCTGTTTGGGGGGGCGCGCGGCACGCCAGCAGAAGAAGAAGGGATTGGTGCTTCCGGCAGTGGGATTCAGAGTCGGATGCATGCTTGGAGTGGGGGTTTCTGAGGGTGTGGAGAACGCCGTGTGTGCGTTGGCAGGGGGGTTGCGGTGACGGCCCGCGGTGCGGTGGGGTTTGCGAGGAGGGGGCGCAAGGTGCCCAGAGGTGGTTTGGGGGTTGGGGTGTCCAACAGTGTAAGTCACCGAGCTCTCTTAATGCTCAAGCCGTCGGGACGCTCTTTGCTTGAGACAGGAATCGCGAAAATGTGCAGAGCACAGCAGCACACCGTCCAAGGCGCGTGGCATGCGGGCTTCTCCTGTTGCCGTTGGGCGTCCTTGCCCCCCCGGCCCCCCTCACCTGCCGCCTTGGCCGCGGCGATCGCCTTCGGGGGCAGCAGGATCTGCGGGAAGCTGTACATCGCGCCCTGGGTGACGGTGCAGGTGACGCCCTCGAGTGAGTTGAAGCCGTCGGTGACCATCTTGGCGCGGCGGCGGAGTGACGCCAGCTCGCCGTTGGTCTCCTCAGCCCAGAGGGCGTAGGAGGGGTCGCCTGTTGGGGGGGTGGGT